GTAGAGCAACCTTGAGTAACTGTCCAGGCAGACAGCTGTTGATGTCATTTCACAAATTTTTTGGAAGTCGCTTTCTTGCACTCCCTGCCTTCTCAGTTAATAATTCCTTCTTGGGTCTCTGAGAGAGTTGAAGACTAGGTAGGATATTTATAGTTTTCCTTGTTTACCAGACTCAGAAAAGAAAGTCACCAAAGAAATGTATATAATGTTGACAGACATTAAAATATAATTTGCTACTGCAAATTAGAATAAGAAAGGAATTAGGTGCAACCTTTTGGACTCACCAAGATAGGCATTGTTGATGGCTTGTCTATATATTGTATATTGTTATTGTACTTATTGTACATGGCTTTTCTTATATTAGTTATAGCCTTCTTTTTTATATTAGGTTAAAAATAGGAATCGTGATATATTGTTTATGATCTAATAAAGCCACTGGAGATCAGAATGCAAAGTCAACTACGTTAGTTAGCCATAGACGAAAGGTAGTGACTGTACACTGCACACCTTAATCCCAGGATTCAGGAGACAAAGGCAGATGGATCTCCGTGAATCTAAGACCACCCTGGGCTATGTGAGAGTGAATCAGTCTAAAAGAGAAACAGAGATCATGACTTTAATCCCATTATTAGGAGTATATAAGAGCTCAGTACAGTCTCAGAGAGCAATCTAGGATTCTGAGGCTTGGTGGAGATCAGTGCAGTCTGGAGATGCAATCAGAGGACAAGATTGCCCCTTTGTTCTGAGCATTGTTAGAGGTGAGAACTTTCTAGTGGCTGGCTGCTTTGCTTCTCTGATCTTGACTTTGAACCCCAATATGTGTCTCTTGGTTTTTATTATTGATGCTACACTGTATATGTATATGTATATGTGGATATATGTGTATATTATATGTTATAATTTAGTAAGCTGTATAGCAAAAGAATATTGTCTCCTTTATAGTTTCAATTTAAATGTTTTTGACTTAATAGAGTTTTAAATTTCTTATAGGTTCTAGCTCTTTATACCATACTTATTACTCTTTGTCATTTAAATCTTGGCTTGTGGTGTTGTTTTTTTTCTCATGAGAGTTTTTAATTTTTATGTTGTTAGAATCTTTGATACTACTTATTTCAATATGTACGTATTTCTTTAAATCCTTATTTATGTATTTGCCTCTGAACTCTTTTCAGTTGAGAAAGCCTGTTCCTATACAAGATTTTAAACACTATATTTTTTTGGTACTCTGAAAGATCTTGAGCATGAGACTTCCAGGATGAATGAATGATGACTCTGTGCAAAAGGTGTAGAGGAAATGGTTCTGGTGTGTTTTGAGGAACAGGCAGGAAAAGCAATGGGTCAGAGAAGGAAGAATGAGGAAGAGATTGTCGGAGGTTGGAGCATGGTGGATGTTTCCTGTATTGAACCTTTTTTTGCTTGCCATATCAGAGTTAATATGGAGGCAGAGGCAGGTGGATGTCAAGAAGTTTGAGGCCAGCCTGGTCTACATAGGGATCTCCTGGTAAGCCAAGGTTACATAGTGAAATCTTGTTTCACAAGAAAAAGAAAGAAAGAAAGAAAGAAAGAAAGAAAGAAAGAAAGAAAGAAAGAAAGAAAATAAAAAACCTAAAGTGAATGGGAAGGTTGCATTTTGTTCTTAAATCACTTCCTGTTGTCTGGGGCTGACAGTGTCTTCAGCAGAACTTGAGAAGAAAAAGAAATGGGGTGATTTTCAAGTCCTGGGAGAGCTAGCTGTGCCTTTGTTGTCCAGTCTCTGTGTAACAGGAAAATGCAGGGCTTATCTTATCTTATCTTGTCTTATCTTATCTTATCTTACGTCCTGTCTGCAGTCTGTGAGGCTGCCATCTCAGCTAGGCACCCTGAAATTGTGTAAGCAGTTTGTAGTCCAAACCTGATCTTTTTGGGTGGCGTTTGTCAGGTTAGTGGCATTGCTGTGGTCCTGGTGGAAGTGTCATTGTAGGACACCATCATCCTTTTAGGAACTTCAAAGGTCCCTGTTAGGCATGGTCATGGTTTACTACAGAAACACTTTTTAAATGCCACATGCAGCAGATCTCAAGAAGGTTAAAGGACCATCATTTGTTCTGTCCACCCAGATAATTGTATCATGTAATAGTGAGATTGGCACTCAAACACAAGCTATTGGGTCCATGTAGTGAACATATCTGTGTATGAATATGTGTGTATATATACAATCTATGGGTTAATTTATGTTCCTGTATTGTATACATGTTCAGTGCTGATCACTGACATTGGAGACCTATCAGGACTCACCCTAGTGAACACTGATTTTCCCTGTCATGGCAGGCATTAATTGTCTTTACCTCTTTGTCTATGTCTGGTGGTTTGTGAGATTTCCCCATCTTCATTGGCATATTGGCTGGAGGTATAATATTAATGCTATTATTAAAAAGGTAGTAATTGGGATAAGGAAGAGAGCGGGAAGACTAACTCTCTGCTTCCTGGGAGAGGCTACCAGAGCTGTGCCTTTGAAAACAAAACTCACCCAAGAATGGAGACAGGACACTCAATCTTAAGTGTCATCTACCATCTGCAACCTTAACCGAGGAACTTAGTACTGTGAGGCAGCTTGTTGGAAGCTGGAAACACATAGTTTCCCTTCATGGCAGTGTGTGTGTGTGTGTGTGTGTGTGTGAGAGAGAGAGAGAGAGAGAGAGAGAGAGAGAGAGAGAGAGAGAGAGAGAGAGAGAGACAATGGGGTAAGAGTAGGATTGTGGTGGGTGTGTGGAGATCAGAGGACAACTTTATGCAATTGATTCTCTCCTTCCCTGTGGGTTTTGGTAATCAATGTCAGAACAGAATTAGAAGTCAAAAATCTCGATTCTGAAGGACATACTATTTGAAGTGCCTTAATGCATTACAGCAGAGCTTGTCAGCCCATGGCCTGTAGGGTGCATGCATATCACTCCAGAGTACTTAGTGAAAACATGAGATTTATTTGCAATTGTTATTTATTTGTTTTGATAACTCAATCACACAGTTTTCAAACATGATCTCTGTGTGGGATACTGTTGTGTCACATTGTCACATGGCTGGACATACTGATCACTCACCTGTGTGTCTGAAGCAATTCTCAATAACCCTGCCTACTAACCACAATGAGGTTCTGTGTCCGGACATAGGGGACTCGGCGTTTGGTGGTTTTCCTAATTCTCTGTAGAACTTAAGTGCTTTAACTTTTAGTGCTGGGGTGCTAAAGTTCTTCTTACTGCCATAATTACTTTAAAAATAGTGTAAGCATTTCCATTTTAATGTCATGATTTAATAGGAGGGATTTTGGAAGCTCTGGATTTTATTCCCACACTTACCCTTAATTAATTACATGTCCTTTATAAATCTTAAACTTGTACACTTACTTTATTGTCATCTGTATAATAATCATGAAGTAGCTCTGAAGTGTCAGGTTCTTACCCTTGTCTTCTCTGTTGGCATGTTTGCGACCCTGAAGTCTGGCAAACACATTTTCTGTTCTGCATTACAGACACAAGACAGCATCTCATTGTTACCCTCATATCTCTAGTCGTGCAGATTGAACATCTCCATCTTTCTCTGTTGGTTTCTTACTATACGGTTGATGGGAACTGCACCAGTGACTGTAGGCTGGGGCAGCTGTGCTACGACCTTATATAAATGCAAGATCATGCTCCTATTCCACTTCAGCTATTTTTTTCTAAATGCCACTATGCCTAGGACTTAGAAGCTGTAATATTTCAAAATGTCTTTGAAGCCAACCCTTTGCCTCTGGAATAGACTGTTCCAGGCTCTTTACTATTCAATATCTTCTGGGACAGAGATTTCACAACCTGTCTCTCACCTTGAGGAAGTTCTTATAACTAATATAAATCTTGCTTTCTGCAATTTCAGTTGTATTTATATCATTTTTCTTTTCTCTGTAGAGATGAGAACAGCCCTAAACCAGAGGTGATACATTCTCACGAGGGCCAGTACTGAACACTGTAGAAAAATTGTTTTCAGTCCAGAATCCATTTCTCTATCGTTCTGGCATTTGATTCATGTTTCAGAAGGTGCCATTTTCAAAGTCCAAATGAAGTAATAGTTTCTATCTACTATCAGTACTTATGAAATCATTTTCTCTTTAAAATAAAATGGGGTATGAAAATTTAAAATTGAGTTCTTGTGGGGGAAAGGGGGGAAATGTTGGTCTCTGATCCTGTTTGGTGGTGGCACACACCTTTAATCCTAGCCTTTGGAAGGCAGAGGCACGTGAATTTCTGTGAGTTCCAGGCCAACTTGGTGTACGAAACAAGTTCCAGTATAGCCAGAGCTATACACGAAGAACTGAAGAAAGAAAAAGGAAGGAAGGAAGGAAGGAAGGAAGGAAGGAAGGAAGGAAGGAAGGAAGGAAGGAAGGAAGATCGGTTGGCTGAGTGCCTAGAAGGGGCTGGGGTGTTTCACTCTGTTGGCCTTCAGCAACCTGCCGGTGCTAACACCGCTGTCCAGCTTCTGAAGACTAGACCCCCCAGAGTAAACAAATAAAGTCAGAAGACCGTTCTCAGAATGAATTTGAGATAGTTAATGAAACTTATTATTTCTTATAGCTATAGTCACAATACTGGGTTTGGGCTGTGGTTTTCATCCCATTTTTTTCTTAGTAATCATAGAAATTGTGAGAAAAGAAATCTGTTCCTTGGAGCAAGTTCTCCAGAGGTGGATTTCAGTGTGTATGGTCAGATGACTTCAGTCCTCAGATGGAATCATCCTGACTGTGGTGAGGAAAAATAAACTAACCGTGCCCACGAGGAGCCCACGCTTGTCCAGAAGACGGCACTGGAAACTAACTGCTGTGTGTCACTTTCAACAGTGCACACAGAAAGACATTGAATGGAAATTTAATTTTGCATCTTAAAGATTTTACAGGGAAAGTCTCATATATACAATTGCATACATGTTAAATTAACCAAGCTCCTAAAATTTGTATTCATTTGCTTCATTCTGGTTTCTTTATTTTCCTTTTGAAGGTTCAGCAGTTTTCTGAAAAATCATTCCTTTTAAAGCTTTTGAAAACCCACGAAAATGCACTAGAGAGACAGTGCAGTGAAATTATGAACCAAAGGGACACACTGCTGCAAGCCTTCGTAAGTCTCTAGCCATGTCAGTAACTGTGTCAAACACACACACACACACACATATATATATACAGCTTTACTTTGAGACAATTATATGTATGAATATCAGCTGACAATACTGTTCAAATAAAAAATATTAAGGGCTGATTAAAACTGATTGACAGCAATACAGTTTGAGAGAGTTGTTCTGGCAAGGATATACTACAGTTTCAATGAGCCTAAGAGAAACAATATGCCATTGTTTTCAATGACTTTGGTGTTGAGACCCTGTTTTAATGCTCCCCAAAACCAGAGAAGTTTATACTTTTAGGCATATTTATGAGCATGGGTGAAAATATATTGTTTATCTTTTCATCTTAAAGCCAACAAACTGAGCAGTAGTTATGATTACATGACAATTTTGAGATGTGACTAGTCATAAGCTGTCATTTCAAAGAGATACATTTGGGCCATCAAGAGGGCTCAGTGGGTAAAGGCACTTTCCACCGAGTCTGATGACTCTTCAACCCCTGGAACCAACATGGTGGGAAGAACTGACTCCTGCAAGTTGTCCAATCTTCACATGTATGTGATAGCATGTGCATACCCACACTCATACACACACAATGAATAAATAAATGAAACAAGTATGTAAGATGTATGTAAGAATGAAAAATACAGCTCATGACATGACCAGCTTCTAAAAGTGATTCCTCATAATAATCATGCCAGCTGAAAAATAAAAATGCAGAAGACTGATGTTTCTAGTTCTGTCAGGAAATTAGATTTTTGTCCTGTCCAAAGATTTAAATTCATATTTTCATGCACTCTGGATGTTTGATTCATAACATTAAACCTATTTAGATCTAACTGAAATGATTGCATAATTTGCCTTCAGATAACAGTTTTCTTTTTCCTATAAAGCAGCCATCGTCCCTTTGAGTAAAAGTTGTAATTTTCACATTTCTTTATTACTCTTCCACCTAATTGTGCATTATATTGACAAAGTAGCATATGTGATTGTAAAGTAACTTCACAGACACACATATAGTGATTAATGTAACAGTTTCTACTTCACTGATTCTCCAGAATCTGTAAGGATAAAACTTGTTGTCTGACAGCCTCCATCCATAAGCACATTGGCTTGGTCAGCACAGGGTGTTTGTGGCGAAGCAAACACAGCTGATGAGACTTTGGCCGCTGAAGAATATTGTAACCAGTGTGGAGATTTAGTCATTTTTTTCTGCTTTTTAGGAGGCCACAAAGAAAAGAGTGACAGCAGAAGAGGAGAAATTTATTAAGGAAATTACAGACTTCAATGATGAGTATGAAATCGCCAAGAAAAGGGACATTCTGATGAAAGAAGACATGAAGATGGAAATTGCTGACTTGGAAAAGCAGGCAAACGTTTTGAGAGGAGGTACTGACACAGGTCTCCTTTGATTGTTTGATTGAGGGTTCACATGTAGCAGAAGCTGGCTTGGACCAGTGTATCCTAGGCTGGCCTCAGACTTGGTATGGCCCTCCTGTCTCCGTTCTCAGCCCTGAGGTATAAAAGTGTGCCTGCACCATGTCTGTTACAGTGAGTCACTTAGAATGAATGTGTTTTCTGGAAGGTGAGCTCTGTATAATGGCAAATTCCATCATTACACAGCTAACTCTTTTACTTAGTGAATGCATATTGCCATGGTGACTGTGTATTTCACACTCTTCAGAAGTATGTTGGGAACTGAGCAGTTGATCATCTGTCTGGTGTGAATATCAGTTTACTGTCATGTGACTGTAAGGTACTGTTCTAGGTTCCAGGAATATGAAATTTAAAGGTGTAAGGAACAAATGTATAAGCCATGTGATGAGTTAGAACTTGTGCTGTGAATTGCTCATCAAGCTTGTATAAAGTATGAATATCTGTATGCATGTTAATGGAATCCAATAAGATGATAAAACAATTGCTAAAGAGAGGGGCGTGAAGGAGCTGTTAGGAAAATAAGAGTACTTTAGCACTCACAGGCAGGGAATGTCCGGGACACCTGTCCCCAGAGGCTCTCTTCTACCTGAGGTTTGTTTCTCTGCCTCCGGATCAGGCTGAGCTGCAGCTGATTGCCACTGCCCAATAATTCCTTGAGTATATTTCCTCTTAACCGGAAAACTCACAGTGAAGCGAATAATAATTCCTTAGATGGTCAGTGTGCTGTGATGAGATCAGACCTAAGGGGAACCCAAGGATGCCATCGCCCATGGCCGCTCAGAAGTGCGGGTGCAGGGACGCTGGGCACTCCCCGCCTAGCATAGGACGCAGGGTCCTCCCCGAGCTCCGCTGCCCCGTTCTGATGAGTCCCTTTCCCTTTGCCTTCTTCTGTGAGGTGTCTTGTGCCTGCAGCCTCCTGTGTGCAGCGTGCTTCTGCTCTGCAGCACTGGAAGATGGAAATGGTTCTCTTAAAGACTGTGTGACTCTTAGATGAACCAACTGAGGGCAGTTCCACTAGAAAAAAGCTGTAACTACAGTTTTTTTCTGAGATCAGACTTTGTTCTGATAAAACACTAACAACCAATATCAAGTGTTTTTTAAATTTTTTCTCTCTTATGGAGGATAGATTATTTTCTCATACAATATATCTTGATTACAATTTCCCCTCCCGCTAGTCCTGGCCCTCAAGCTTAACTGATTTTCTGAGACATCATGGTAGATTTCTCTGACATCAAAACAGTTTTAAATTTCTATTCTGTGTTTTATATTTAGATCATGATTTCCTAGCATTTCTGTGGGTTTGTCTTCACTGACAGGTGTGTATTTTACTTCCTGAAACAACTAATAAGGAAATGCAAAGATGAAACGCTAGGACACAATGTGAATTCAATGCGATCTTTTTTCTCTCTGTGGCTCTGGACCCTGTCCTGGAACTCGCTCTGTAGACCAGGCTGGCCTCGATCTCACAAAGACCCGCCTGCTCTGCAGCCCAAGCACTAATGGTAATCTTAAAACACTAATGAAGTCTGAATAAAAATGTGAAAGAAGAACAAAACAATAAAACAAATGATTCAGAGTAGACCCAAGTTTGTCTGTATCAGTAGCTGACACCAAATGGTCAGCCAGTCACCAAAGTTAGAGGGAAGAGCTGGGTAGAAGGACACACATACTTTTCCAGGTTATGTGGAGGAAAGAGGGCTCAGTGGTGAAGGGCATGCATTGCTTTTAATGAACACCCAAGATCCATTCCCAGCACCCACATCTAACAGATGATGCCTCCTGTAACTCTAGCTCTGTGGAAAGTGAAATGTCTCTGACACCCTTAAACATAATGCACAGACACAGACATGCATATATATATAAATAGCAATGAAACATTCTAAAAGGAAGCTAATGAATAAAAAGACATACTTTGTATACAATAACCATAGAAAGCTAACATTTTTAGTGATAATCAGATACAATTTAATAAAAAAGTCACTGAAATTAAAGAGAATTTTATATTGAAAAGTTTAATTTCCAGTCAGTTAAGAATATTGGAATAATACATACTGTATTTTTCTAGCATAAATAAATAAGTAAAAAAAAATTCACAAGCAAAAAAGTATCCAACAAAACCTAAACATTTGGAAATTAAATGGCACATTTATAAAAGAAAAAAGTCATTGTCCAAAAGGGAAATAAAAATAATTGAATTATAATATAAATTCGGCATATCAAAATTTTGTGGTTTAGGCAGTGTTTATTTGGAGGCATATAAGTAACTTTAATGCTTATATTACTCTAAATAAAAGAATGGCCTAAGGTTGATATGTTTTACATGAAGAATATCCTAAAAAGTAGTACAGATAAATTCACATGAAGGAGGAAACATGAGTTTGAATATCAAAGCAGATACCAAGGAAAAACTGAAAAAGGAAGGGACAGTGTCTTTCCCCATGTTGTGACACATGTTGTTAGCATGAGGAAAGCATGTGGTCAGCTCAGCAGTCACTCTGCAGAACATGAGCCCAGACTCCAGAGTACACCAGGTAAATGGGTTTTGACAAGATGGAATTTCAGCTCCATAGGTGAAAAGATGACTCCTCAGTAAGTAAGCTAGAGCTGTTGGACATCTACTGTAGTGTGTCACACACCATGTTACCAATTAACTTGAGGGACTGGAGAAGTGTTTCCATACTTAAGGCAATGCTCTGCTTCACAAGACCGGGATGTAGTTCCAGCACCCATTTTGGACAGCTTGCAGCTACCTGTAACTCTGGCTACACAGAATCCAATGCCCTATTCTTTCTCAGCTGATAACTGTACACACATGGCATATACTTATTCAGACATAAACACATACACATAAAGTAAAAGAAAAAAATTTAAATCTACCTCAGAATAAACTTATAGCTATGCATAACTCCTGGCCATACCACCTGCGTTAGAAAGGAAGATGGACATTGAAGAAACTCATTATGGAGTTTGCTTCCAATATGTCAAGACTAGCCATTTGGACAAGATACTGCTCTTGTCTGGACTGTTTGACTTTGTGCTATATAAACTGGACATGCAGGACCCTCATAAAAGTGACTGCTGATTCCAGATGGGCATTGCTACAGAGTTCCTGTTTCATGGAAGAGTCTGCCAGACAGTCTGCAGGACACAGAGAAAAGTGACTGACAAACTGCCAATACAAGAAGACAGTTTAAAGTTTCCTGCTTTTCTGAGGAGTCTGCCAAACACACTATGGCCTATGGGCTGAAGATACATTACAGAACTTTGGGTGACTGACCAGGCGAGTTGTCTCTGTCATTTCTAGAGTTTGTATATTATCCTTCTGTGGTCTTTGAAGGAGTTGAAGACAGATAGTTATGGTTATAGTTTTCCTTAGTTAGGATTAAAGATAAGTTAAATATAGGACTTTAGATTCACAAAAATAGGATAGATAATGAAATATTTTAACTCTTACTAAATGTTAATGGACTGAACATTGTTAACTGTGGTTCTTATTTGATAACTGTTTTGTTATATATTTCACTATGTTAAGGTTCAAACCCATCTTTTTATTTAGAAAAGAAGAGATGATAGGAGAGTCATTCTGGAAATATGTTTCTCTTATTGGTTAATGAATAAAGCACTGTTGGTGAATAGGAAGGAAGATAGGCGGGACTAGGAGACAAGGAGGATTCTGGGAGATGTAGTAAACGAGATTCAAGATGTAGGGACTTGAGAGAGCAAAGGTCCGGACATTCTTTCTGGTAAGATAAGACAATGTGGAAACACTTAGATTAATAGAAATGGGTTAATATTTAAGACAGAGGTAGCCAATAAGAAAGGCTAGTAACCGGCCAACAGCTTTGTATCTGGTACAGCGTCTCTGTGTGTTATTTGGGGCTGATGTGGCAGTGGGACCAGGCTGGTGGGAAAAATATTCGTAACAAACCACATTTAGGAATGTCCTGAGGAAAACAGAAACAGGAAATGCCAGGACTGGCAGGATGGCTCAGCGTTAGGACTGCCGGTTCCTCCTATAGAGAACCTCAGTGTGGTTCTCAGCACCCACATGAGGAGGCTCACAGCTGCCTACCCCTCTGGGTTCATTTGATCTGATGTCTTCTTGCTGTGGGTGCACCTGCATGCACACAGTTCACATCAACTCACATGAGCACGCATATGAACATACATAAATAATAAATAAATTATAAATAAATAATAAATACGTATAAAATAGTTTCACCCTTTTCAAAACTAGAAATGTGAACCATCAGAGGAAAAATACACACTAGAAGTAAAAATAAATTGAAAAAAAAGTTAGGAAAATGAAGACAGACTATGGCTGGAAATAAAACATTTGTGATGTGTGTACATGGGCTGTTACTCAGAAAATAATGAGCTCTCACATCTTCAAACCGAGAAGGCAACAAGGTCAGTTATAGCAGGGGAAGATTTGAACTTAACAGTACAGAACTGATGACCAGTGAACACACTGGAAAGGATTCAACATTTTCAGTCATGACCAAGATATGAATTAAAATACAGTGAGCTGTCATTTTGCATTCATTTAATCAACATTAAATAGACTGACCAAGTCATGTGTTGAGAAAAATGAAGAACATTTGAAACCACATAGTAGTATTAAGATAGAAAATAAATGGTAAAATTCCTTTCAGGAATTGTTTGGCAATTTTTTAAAAGTTAAATATACATTTATCATACACTCCACCACAACTAGATGTGCCAGAAAAATTAACACAAATGTTTTTGGAAATTTAATTCACAGTAGCCAAAGACTGCACATAATTGTATATTCATAGGTGAATAGCTAGACAACAGTTGACAAAACTTGTAATATACACCACGGAGGGATCTCATGTAACCAGAGCTGTACGCATTCCACACTGTGAACCTAAAGGAAATGGATACAGGGGTCACAAGGGATCTTTTGGTGTTGATGTAAAGGTGTGTTC